ACAAAAAGATAATATGAAAAGAACATAATAATTTATGTATTGATAACAAAGAAGCAGCAATATGATTACTTTATGGTAGTCAAGCATAACTGATACAATTGCATCATGGTAGTAAGGAAATCTCCAAAAAATTTTCAAACCTATATTGTTCAAGGATCAAATGTATAATTCATCTTAAAAACTGATGGACTATTTTTTTCTGAGCCTTCAGTTCAAATCTAGCTTATTTACTAAATTTTAAACTTTTTCTAAAGTATTATTTGATACACCCAAATGCTGAGACAGTCACATTCCATACCTTCACAGCTCTCTGAAACAAGGGTTTGCTGTTCTGATATGTTAAGGCAAAAAAATAACAACTGTTAATTGTCTGAGCTTATTTAGGAAATTAAGAATGGAACCTTGGCAAAGGATTTCTTCTGGATAGAGGTTGTGAGCCAGATTGTAATAAAATGTAAAGGTAATAATATCCTTTCATTCTCATTATTGTCTCAGCTCACATATTGGTTTAGCTATATTTATTTGTTGTTCATTATGTATGCAGATACAAAGAATGCAGTTGGAAGGTATAAGTGGAGAAGAGAGTACCAGGAATTACAGAAAAAAAAGTTAAACTGTCATAAATCCAGTGCTGAGCAAATAAAAACTTTGAATATTGGTCTTATGCTGTTTTAGACAGCTCTGAAGGTATGGAATATGACTATCTCCAGCTTTTGGGTCATAATGGAATACTACTCAGTTGTAAAAAGAAGAAAATTTTACCCTTTGCGACAGCATGGATGGACCTAAAGAACACCATCCTAAGTGAAATAAGCCAGTCAGAGAAAGACAAATACCATATGATTTCACTCATATGTGGAATCTAATGAATATACTGAACTAACAAGCAAAACAGGGACAGACTAATGATAGCAGGATGACAGCTATGGCAGGGGGAGGGGGAAGTTGAGAGGATAGAGGGATCAATCAAAAAGGAAAAAGTACTCATGGACAAAGACAACAGAGTGGTGATTACGAGGTGGAGAGAGGTATAAGGGGGCTAAATGGTAATGGAAAAATACAATAAAAAATCATGCTAAAAAACACAGGATATCTAAATGATGTGGAATAACTTGAAAGCCTTTTTACCAACAAGTACTTAAAAAAGATAAGAATGTATCAGCAAAAATGATGGAGTAAATTCTCTCCTCCATGAAAGCAATAAGAAGACTGGTAAAAATCGTGAGAATCAACTTTTTCTGAACTGTGGGAGTTAATCAAAGGCTTGAAGCAGTCCGAGGAGTGTTTATTAAAAGAAAATTGGCCACATCTTGGTAAAAAGAGTGAGTTTTGTGGTGTTTTTAACTTGCCCTATTTCTATTCCACTCTTCCAGACTCTGTGGTAGCTCTGAAGACCAACAGCCTATAATCAATGAAAATAGCAGCCTGGTAGCCACCAGAGGTGATAGAAGAGGGCTAAAGCTCCTTCAAAGCCCCATTCTCAGAGAACTGTCATTATATAACCTGTCTGGTGCTTTCCTGGAAGACTTACTCACAACACAATATTTGATCTGAATTGGAGCTTGCCCAGTAGGAAAAGCCTAATCTCCAGTGATGTTTGTTGAAAACAATTATAAACAATTGTTTAATACTGTAGCTGCTGAGGCAGTAAATAATAGTTGGAGCAAAGAACAGGCTAACAAAAAGTTTCAAAGAAAAAGCTGAGGAATAAGATGCCCATAATGGGCTTTGAAAGATTTAAGTATTCCCAGAAATACAGAAGGCCACACATCTGCCCATAAATATCCACATGCTTAAAAAATGAGAAGGTCCTCTATGTCTAACCTTGGGATTCTATGCATGCAGGAAGTGAATGTCAAGTACAAGCAGAAAGTATCAACTGCCTGGTGGACTGGTGGATGAAACCAACAGCACAAAGAGCCCTTCAGCAAGGACTGAGAAACTTATTGGTTCTAGGCACTTAAGAAAACATTAGTCCAATCATTAGCTGACCACAAATCTAACCAAGCAGAGATTTCAATGGCCACACACACACACACACACACACACAAATACAGACCTTTGGTTTTTACCAAACTAAGTAAGGGCATGTCCTTCCCAGATATATTCCCTCTCTGATTTCTACTGCCAACACAGTCCTCTGCTAGACAGAAAGAGCCCAGAGCTTATGTGAGGAATCTGGGACATTTTCCCTAAGGCTTTGTGTCTACTTCACTCCTTTAACCCTCCTCCTGCTGCTGCCTCTGCACAGGCTCCTTCTCCTCTCTGCCATGCCATTGAATGTCAGGTTGACCTGCCATGTTCTGCTGTCATTTCCCAGAAATGGATGCCATCATATTTCCTGTATTCTCACAGAGGAAAAGGACCCTCTCCATTCCGACATCAAAATAAGTCCTGCAGGACAAAAGCTTAGTGTTACTTCCTATTTCTCTTTGACTTCCTACCTGTGCCTAAGGCATCTGAGAATTTACTTAACTGAACTTTTCTTCAGGATGGTACTTAGGTTCTTCCATACTAATATGCACTGCCATGCTAAAAAATTCTTCTGTTCTTTGTTTTAAGATAAAATTCATAGTGTATACAGCATATTTGAAAGTTGCTGAGAGAGTAGATCTTAAAAAATCATCAAAAAAAATTTTGTAACTACGTTTGGTAATGAATGTTGCTAGCCTTATTGTGATGATCATTTTCACAATATATACACATACCAAATCATTATGCTATACACCTGAAAAAAATATAATGACTAATGTAAATGTTATCTGTCAATTATACCTCAATAAGAAGACCAGATACCAAAACGAACAAACAGAAAGAATACAGACTTTACAAAATCAGTTTGGAAAAGTAAATAAAGAAATACTACCAAATAACAACAAAAACACACTCTGGGAAAAGAGAAAAATATGATTTCAAGAGTTACCACATTATTTAAAATGTCCAGTTTTCAACAGAAAATTGAGACATGCAAAGAAATAAAAAAGTAGGGCCCATACTCAGAAAAAAAAATTAGTCAATATAGTAACTGTCTCCAAGGACCCCATCTGTTGGACTTAACTAAATAAAGGCTTAAAATCAACTATTTAAATATGTTCAAAGAATAATAAAGGAAAATATGTCTACAGAACTAAATGGAAGTATGAGAATAATGCCTCACAAATAGAGACTCTCAACAAAAAAGAATGAAATTATCATAAATAAATAAATAAATAAACAAACAGAAAATTTTGGAGGCAAAATGTATAATAACTGAACTAAAATTTCACTGCAAAAGCAGATCAGAGCAGGCAGAAGGAAGAATTGGTAAACTTTAGGTAATCCAGTCTGAGGAACAGAAAAAATAAAGAACAGCAACAACAAATAAATGAGCAGAGCTTCAGAGACCAATGGGAAACCATCAAAGGTACCAACATATGCATAATGGGAGTTCCACAAGGAGAGGAGAGAAAGGAACAGAAAGAATATTTGAAGAAATAATGGCCAAAGATTTATCTAATTTATCTAAACTTTCATGAAGCTCAATGAATTCCAAACAGGATAGTCAAATACATCCATACCTAAACACATCATAATCAAGCTACTAAAAGACAAAGACAAAGGGAATCTTGAAAGCAAAACATAAAACAAAATTTAGATACTCTTCTGAAGGTGGCCTACAAATGAATCTGAGGCAAAGAATGTGGTATTAAGATGAGACCTTAGAATCTTAGTTCTCTCATGTATCTCTTTGGAGGCGAATCATTGAATATACGTTTGATATAACTCATAGGGAATGTTTTTTCTCCCATTGTCATCTTTGGGACTAACAATCAACCAAAATTCTCCAACTCAGTTGGAATGTTTAGTCTCCTACACTAATTTCAAAGCAGCAACAGATTGAAAAAGGAAATAACAAATCCTCTTTTGCAGAAAGAAAAAGGTATTGAATGATGAGTACTTATGGTTTTTATGTGAGAATGTTCTTTTAGGTACTTGACTAAAAGGCTTACCTTACCTAAGGTGACTGATTAAGAGTTTCTTAAGAGCTATGACTTAATCATTAATTTTGGTAGCTCATTCAACAAGAAAATACTCAGACATGGTGCTACCTCAATCCAAAAAAAAGAAAAAAAACCTTGAAGAAAAAAACAAATCTCAATAACAGACTTCAAGTATAAATTTGACTGTATTTCCCTCTCTTTTTTTTTTTATTAATTAAAATCAAGGAGAGATACTAAGATAATCACACCTAGAATTAGAGATTAGGGTAAGCATAAAGCTACTGATTTCTTTTTTTTTAAGCTCACTATTGTACTGACTCTCTCCAAACACTGTAACTGTGGTTTTTGCATTTGTTATACTATACTAAAGTATAACAAATCACTTTAGAAATAAATGGAAGAAAAATAATAGAATACACATTCAAAGTCCTATCATTTTCTTCTTTTTAAGTGTATTATATCAGAAAAATTCAAACTGAAGGATTTTGAATAGTTTTTACCCTTGTTCCTCAGATAATGATGTCTAGGAAAAAAATGATGGGGATAAAATGTCTTACTCAAGATTAAAAAAATAAAGTTAGAGTTGACCTTGGAAAACACAAATTTGAACTGCATAGTGCCACTTATATACAGATTTTTTTCCATAAATAACCTGTACTATCTTTGATCCCCATTTGGGAGTCTGCAGATGCAGAGGGCCAACTGTATCTATTGATCTACACTATTTTTATAAGCGATTTTGGTATATGTGTGGGGTCCTAGAACCAATACCAAGGGACAACTTAAGTTTTAGGAAAGTAAAAATTATACATGAATTTTTGATTGCATGGAATGGAGGGTGAGGTTGGTGTTCAAGGGTCAACTATATAACGATTTCGAAAAACCAAGTATACATTAGTGAATACCAGTATTGGGACTAATACCCGTAGCAGAAAAGCTTATTTGGGTGGCCTCTAGTCTTCATGATAGATATTCATAGATGGGGAAACTACCACATTGTCCAGATTTCCCAAAACTAACCTGTGATGATAAGACATTCATTGTGATCCAGCACCTCAGTAAAGAGCCGTGAAACAATCAACTCAGGGTTGATTAAAAAGCGAATTTCTTCTTGTACAAGTCCTGCACTGGTTACACCACCTCCAACAAAACGGTTTGCAAAATCCACCTATTTGAAAAAATGTGGCATGTTAAATGATGATCTGGAATACCTACATATATGATAAAGAAGTATATTACTTTTAAGCTCCAATCTTGCTTTCCTTTCCCATATAAATCAATCCCCAAATTAGTAATCTTCTCAGGGAGAATAGACTATGGTTGACTACTCTTTCCATTTCATTGCAGTTAACATCTCTGCATATTTCTTTGGATCCCAAAACCTTACAAGAAGCCTGGAAAAAGGAGCTTTTAGGCAAAAGACTCAGTGTAAAAATTACATCAACCTTTGTTTATAAACCTTTTCTGTGCTCCAAGGGCCACAGATAAAGGAAGGTTTTATTGAGAAAGGTTTTATCAAGATCATTTCCCCACCATTCACTACTCAATTTCCATTTATGTATTTCATAGACTTTAATGTAACTGTACCTTTCTTATATAATATGGCAATCAAACACTTATTCTTAAAGAACTGTAAAGTTTAGTGATTGACCTTTTCTGCATAACCTTTTCTTCTGTGGAAGAATAAAGAGATAAAAATTTTGTCCTTCTAAATTCAATTGCAAACTCCAAACTATGTAAACATTATAAACTACATTTTTAAAATATACCTAAAGAAAAAAATGAAGACAAAGTCTAGTTTAACACTAAAGAGTCAACTAAATTAATATTTCCAATTTAGTTTAAAACTATACATAAGCTTTCTATGGAGTACTAAGATAGGATCCCCAAGCTTCAATTAATAATGATGAGTTACACAATCCTCAAGAGAAAGCACACTCAACTTGCCATCATTATTTATTTGTCTTAAACTTACTAAACACTCCACAGTGTCCAACACTATGCTAGGAATTATGGGGAAATAGGTAAGAAATAGTTTCCATCTTTGCCTTAGATTGTTCTGTTTGAGGAGTTATATTACACACACACACATAACTGTGTACATACATAGTCAAACATGCAAAAACAGAATTTAGTAAGTAATGTAAGAAAGGCTTATTACTGTGTAGGAAAACCACTCCTGTATCTTTCCTTTATTGTCACTACCAAACTCACTCTTCTGACACCAAAATGTGTGGATTTTCTCACACTAAGCCATTCTGCAATACCGTTTAGGTGTCCTGTAATTCAATTCACTTCTGACACTACTACCTACTTAGAGTTAGCATTGCATTCCAAAACCAAGGGTTCAGTCCCACAAGACTGCCAGACGTCAGATGGAAATTGCAAGTCCCAACTTCTAGCTGACTGGTTCATAGGGGTTCCCATGACCCCCTCCTGGAATTAGATGATTTGCAAAAGTAGCTCACAAAACAAGGGGCAACACTTACTTACACGTACTCATTTATCAAAAAGGATATAATAAATGATACAGATGAACAACAGACAAAGGGATACACAGGGCAAAATATGAGGGAAGGGGCACAGAGCTTCCAGAAGTCACCATCCCTATTTACCAACCCAGAAGCTTTCCGAACCCCTTATTTTTGGGATTTTTATAAAAGCTAGAGCATGTAGGCATGATTGATCATTAACTCAGTCTCCAGTCCCTCTCCCTTTCCCAGAGGATAGAGGTTGGGTAGAATGTTCCAAATTTCAAAGCATGGCTTTGACTTTCTGGTGACCAGCCCCCCTCCTAAAGCTATCCAGGAGTCCACCAAGAATTACCTCTCATTAGAATAAAAAACATGCCCATAACCCAGAAAATTCCAAGGAATTTAGAAACTCTGGAATGAAAATCAAAGACCAATGAGAACAAAAGATGCTCCTAGTGCTCTTCTCACTTACATAACAACCTGGATTTTAAGAAGGAGCTCTATGCCAAAAGCTGGGGCAGAGACCAACATAGAGTTTTGTATTATTTTACATATGTATGTATGTATTTAATCCTCACCCAAGGATTTTTTCATTTGCTTTTTTACAGAGAGGGAGGAAGGGAAAGAGAGAAATGATGATGCAAGAGAAGCACTGATAGGTTGCCTTTGTTTGCACCCAGACTGGGGATCCATGCAGGGACCAGGGACAATAAACATCTAAACCAGGGGTCACACATTTCTCTGCCCAGACTGGGGATAAACCTACAATCTAGGTATGTGCCCAGACAGGGAGTTAAACCCACAAACCCTTTGGTTACAGGATGATACTATAATCACTGAGCCACACTGGCAAGGTCATTTTGTTCAGACTATTTTTCAAATATAAGATTTCTTGAGGAGGAAGATGGCGGCGAGGTAGGAGGGTGCAGATTCCACTCTCCCCTACATGGGGGAAAAACCTAGCTGATCTATGGAGGAACAGAGTAAACAGCCAAAAGTACACCAGCATATATGAAAATGGGAGACCAAAAATTATAGTGGACATTGAAAAACCAGACAATAAGGACAGTGATTCAGGAAACTAAGGTCCAAGGGACCAGCATGGGGACCAAGGTGGCTGCAGCCCCAGGCCCTGTGCCTGCCAGATCTGCCACAGGGTTCTTGGGAAAGAGCTGGGACAATGGCTACCAGCCCCACCAAACAAGGTTCAAGCAGCACCAGGAGAGGCCTGGCTGCTTGAAGTCTCAGACAGGGGAAAAGGACTAACTGGCAAACACACAGGGGCTGTGAGCACCCATGGAGTCTGTAGACTCTGGTGGAGTAGAGTTGCGAGTCACGCCATGATGGGCCCTGACCCCGACAGTCCCCGGTCTGGCTGGAAAATTAGGTTGTGCAAGAAGCCAGGACTCTGTATGGGGTGGCAGGCTTGAGTAGGAGGAATTTATCGAAAAGAAAAAGTGAAAACAGAAACACTGTTTGGGGAATTCTCCTGTGCCCCGGCCTCCTCACCACCCAGCTGGACAGCACTTCTGAGGGGGTGCGGGAGGCCTGCGCACCCCCATAGCACTGGGAAGGGTGCATGTCCAAACCCATGGGGCTGGAGGCAGCCTGACCTAGCATGTGCACCCACAACCTGGGAAGAGTACACTATGAGGAAGGCCTGCATTCCACACCCAAGGCCCACGGAGAGGCACCAGGATAGTTCTGGGAAGAGTGTACTTTTTTATTTTTTATAATTCTCTATCTCTCAATTCCTTTTTCCTCTCTCTCCTTCTTTCTTGTTTTATTCCTTTTTCCTTTCTTTCACATTTTATCTCTTCTACCTTCCTTCTTCTGCTTTTTTTTAATTAGCCACAAGTGAGACAAAAAACATGTAACTATGAAAAGACCAGAGTAGGACCCAAAGAGGGACCATTTCAACAGCTGAGACAGTGAGACAAATTTCACTTTGCTATTACAGAAAACTTGTAAGTTATTGCATATCTGTATTATCATTTTTTTCATTATTCTTATACCTTTTATTTTAATAGCATTTTTGTATTTCTCTTCTGTTTAGTCTCCTTTGCTTGGCTGGTACTGAATCATTTCACAGGTTTCTCCTGTTCTCTCTTTCATAGTGTATTGCTAATTTTCTGTCCTTCACTTCACTTGTGTTCCATTAGCACACTACTCAAGGTCCTATACTCCCTATTTTTCTTATAGAGATCACATAGATTCTGTCATACGATTGTTGCTCTAATAGTATTGTAAATAATAGCTGTTCCACACAATTATAAATATTACACAACATCCCTCTCAAATCTTAGCCCACTTCAGTTTCCTGAACTCTATTACTATAGTGATTAACTCTATTCTCTCACACACTACACCTATTTACTACCCTTTACTCTCAATTACCTCAGAATCTGACCTCCCATAACCTCGCTGCCTTCTAATTCCAACTCACAACCCTTCCCTCCCCAACAAGAGTCTTATCTTCTTTCCATCTTTTCTAAAAAGTGGATAGTTGGATGGAATATCATGGTTAACACTATACATAGCCAAAGGATCTCCTATCTCTTCTCTACCGGCTACTACTAAAAATATCATAGAATACTCTCTTGCTGTCTTAAACCATGTTGCCTTCCCCCTCCAACTTATCACAAAAAAAGAGTAGGTGGAAGCTGTGAACACCAGGATGCCCACTTTAAGAGGAAACCCAACAAAAAAGGAACCAGCAACAGATAACAACAGAAGAAGGTGAAGGAGGGAGTGGAAGCCACACTAACCTCAATCCAGGACCTATCTGGAAATGCAACTAAATAGTAGAGAAATGATCCAAAACAAACAACTGAACAAGAGCAAGAGAGAATCCTCACAACCTTGTACACAACGAAGAACCAACTTCAAACAACCTGTCCTCACCAGCAAGACAATACAAGAGGTGGTGGACAGAGTGACCCTCAGTTAACCAGCTGGTGGGAAGGATCCACCAAAGAAAGACACAAAAGCAATCAAAACCCAACAACAAACAAATAGCCAACATAAATGACAGCTGAAGACCAGTGAGCTCTGGAGATCAAGGAGACTATGACTGAATCTCACGGGTATTCTACCACAGAAGTTCACACCAGAAACCAAGGGAGCCAGAACAGATGAATTTAAGAAGCAGAGGATAACAAGAGGAGTCTCACAAATAATGGGAAAACAAACAAACATTCCCCAAAAGAAAGGAAAGGAAGAAGCATCAGAAAGAATACTAAATGAAATAAAGGAAACTCAACTATCAGATATTAGTTCAAAGAAATAATTATTAGGAAGCTCAATAAGCTCACAGTGAATTCCAGAAACTATAGGGAAACTACAATGAACTCACTGCAAAATATATCAATATGAAAAAAGAAATAGAAACTATCAACAAGGGCCAAGAGGAAATGAATACAATTTCTGAAATGAAGAACACAGTAGAAAGACTCAAAAGCAGCCTCGATGAAGCAGAGGATAGGATCAGTGAGATGGAGGACAAGGTAGAAAAAAATACCCATGAAGAGCAAGAAAAGGAAAAGAGGCTCAGAAACAATAAACAGGGATTAAGAGAAATTCAAAACAACATGAAATGTAATAGTATCTGTATAATAGGGATACCAGAAGGAGAAGAAGAGCAAGGGATAGAAAACATGTTTGACAAAGTAATGATGGAAAACTTCCCTAATTT